TCTTCCTAAAGCCTCTGCACCGTCTTGCCACAAGGCTAAAGGACAGGGCTGTCTCAGAGCCAAAGTGTCACCCTAAGGTCATCTCTCCTCATTCGTCTTCTAAATGACCATGCTGTCCTATTTATATCAATGAGGGGGAGTGATCCTCCAGTGAACCATTCGTGGGTGTCCAGTTAACTAAATGTATTCCCCATCCCTGTTCTGGGCCACCTCAACATAACGAGATGTCATAGCACATCTGCCATCGTAGGTCGCACCCAGGGTGAAGGGAAGTTGCCGAAAAACCTGGGCGGACACTGAGCACGTGTGGGCGTGTATGTGTCTGTGCATGAAAGAGCCTGCATGTTTGGTGGCTCCCCTTCTCAGGAAAACCTTATTTATACAGCAACATTAGCTGAGTGTCCTGGGCATCTGTGCCAGGCTCTCAGGATGAAGCTGTGATGCCCAAACTCTGCCTCTGCCATCCCAATTCCATCCAGAGGACACGGCTGGGGCATTTTTCTTTTGTTGTAGTCAAGCCTAAAGCACAGATTTTTAAGACAGATTCAGGATTATTTAAACCAAAAGTCAGCAAAGTGTGGTTTGGGTCCCTCTGAGATAGTCACAGCATCCCAAAGCTCAATTAGTTCACTTATGCCAACCCTGTGCTGTCAAAATGATCACATCTCCTAGAGACGAATCCCAGGCCTGTCTTCTACTTGGAATTCATGTGGTGTGCAGAGACAATGAGAATGATTTGTCTTTGTAGTCAAACGAGCTTAAGGCAAAAGATGAATACTTTCTCATGATATGAGGGAAATAACTGGAATTTGAGAAAGTGAAAAGATGTTTAGGTTGTTCAGTTCTGGAACACTATTTGACACATTGTTTCAATAACACAATCCAGTTTCTTTCCACTCAACAAACAAACAAACAAAACCTTTCTCATCTGAAGACCAAGTGCATCCCATGTTCCCATGTGTTCCTGATTTATATATAATTGCAATATACTTTTTGGAGATTATGTCATTTTTCCCCCTAAAATAGAAGTAGCTGCACGTACTGCTGTTTAAATCAAAAGCAATGAAAATTTTGTTCTGAGGAGTTTGCTATACCTTCAGACAGCCAGAGATACTACAGTGTTACTAAATCGAGGTTTGCTAGCACTGCTATAGGGAGCCCAAGCCATTGTAGTAAGCTAGAAGAAAGCAGACCATGTTCATGGACATGAACTGACAAAACATCTCATTAGAGCCCTCCAGTGTAAACAACAGGAATCCAGGGGAACTTCTATTCCTTATGTATTTGCAAAGGAAATCTCCCAGACACATAAACTTCACAATTATAAATGTTAACCCATTTTGTGTTTGTTTTTGTTTGGTAAAATAGTTGTGTTTCTTGAGTCAGGCTTCTTTCCTTTAACTACCTGGAGTTCAGTTTGAATTCTACTCTTTTTTTTTTTTTAATTAAGTTTTTGCTATAGGTTACACATGCTTACCAGAGACAGAGAGATAGAGAGAAAGATGCCCAAAATCTTGAGAGGAACTGGAGGAAAAGAGAGAAATCCCTCCCCAGAGGAGATAGTCACACCACAATCTCTTTTCCTCCAGTTCCTCTCAAGATTTTGGGCATGTGCACACACGCTCCTGGTGTGATTTTCAAGTTGCCAGGCGTGGGACCTGAACCACACAGTTGGCTATGTGGGATCCAGCACTGTAACCTCCATGCCACCTGCTGGCCCTTGGTTCTACTCTTAAGGAACCTGTCCTACCTTAAAGGTCTTCAGAACCTCCTGAGAGTTCTTGGGCTGGGAGTAAGGCTTGGGTGTCAGCATAGGCACTGCTTTGGGAGTGACGGTTTTGCTTGGAGACCCACTGCCTGCTGGTGTGCTGGTATCCAGGACACTGGCACGAGCGACGGTGGTTTCCACAGTGGCAGTGAACTTGGGTGGAGGCAGTGACTGTTGCCGTAGGTACTTCATGGGGTTGGGGTCATTCAGGAAGGAGGACAAGTTTGGCTCTGTTGAATGGCTTCTTTCCAGAATTTTTGGCATCTCCAAGCGTTCGAGAACAGCCTCACTGATGGTGAACCTCTCGATGTACTGCTGCAGTATCCCCTCTGCCTCCTCCTGGGACCGTGCGTTCTTATATGCCTCGTGCAACTCTCTCTCTCTCCGCTCTCTAAAGGATGAGACATGAGGGAAAAGCAAAAATCAAGTTAACAGTCACAAAAATTGCAAAGAAGACCTTGGTAGGACCCAAAACAGAGCTGAAGAGAAAGTACTAGGCACTTACACTATTGGTGTTAGAGTCTTTGTTCTAAGCAACAATTTTTAGAAAAAACACACTAGGTAATATTGCACATTTGAATACAACAATAGAAAGAACCCACTTTTCTTGAACAATTTCTCTATAGGTTTTGATGCTTTTCCTCCGTTCACTGGTCCCGTCTTCTCCAGCCAGTAACTTCTCCATTTTTTTCCTTTCTTCCTCTTTCTTGATTAAGTCCTGAGAAGCACTTCTTCTACGACTCTTCCAACGAGCCAGGTCCTAGGGGGTAGAAAAAGATACAATATTCTTCTTCAGGCTGGCAAACAACTCCATTTCTACTCTTCAGAGTTTGGTGAGCACTGACTATGGACCCGGCACTATGGCAGGGCATTCCCCACAACCCACAGGAATGTTCCTAAGGTGGGAAATATTCAGATACTAATATTATCTACACTATCCACAGCCCGGCAGCATGGCAGTGTGAAATACGCAGTCATATTTCATATGTCGGTTGCCAAATTTTAGAGAATTGCCTCACCAGGGAATTGTAAGAAACTTCATTTCTTTCTATTTATGACCTCCGCTCTGTGGACAGACTTGCTGACAGCAGAATACTAGGGATCAATTTATAGTTTCCTCATGGAAAGGAAGTAAAGGCAGAAAACACCTGGCTTTGGAGGTTTACAGAGCCCATGATTCTGTATACATCAAGCCATCTGATCTGTGCAATAACCGTAGCTCCCACCCTACAGATAGCATAATGGTGAAGAATGAAGAGGGGCAAGATGGCGGCTGTGGGAAATAACCTGTCTGTCCCTGCCATGCCTGGGATTTTAGCCTCTTGGTGCCCTGGTGTCCTCATCTCTCAAATGGGGTTGGTAAGAACAGCAATTCTCTTGGGGACGGCAGGTGGCATGGTGGTTGAGGTGCTGCATTCCCACCTGGCCAACCAGGGTTCAAGTCCTAGACTGGCAGCTTGCTTTCTCACTTCCCCTCTCTTTCTCTGGTCAAATTTAAAATAAACGGATGCATAAATAAATAAATAAATACATAAAACTAAATTAAACTAATTTGGAAAGAGCATTGATTCTCCCACGTTGTAGGTTTAAATCCAATAATACAAGTAAGGTGTTCAGTAAAGTGTAGACATCATTGCTAGTATATTTGAACCGTTTGGACAAATTTTCTTTATGACTAATGGTAGAGTCAAGTTTGCAAGTTACCTTAGAGAGTTCTGTGAGAATTAATGGAAGGAACCCACTCGTCCCTTCTTCCAGCCCTGCTTTGGCTCTTTGCTCTGAGCACACCATCATGCTCTTTAGCTGTCCTTCCCTGGTTCTAATCCTGGCTCCTCTTAGAGGAGGTCTTAGCTATGGTAGACTCATCTGTGGATTCCAGGTAGTAATTGCCTGTTCACCAAGTTACTAGGAGGAGTAAGTACACCGTGGCTTGCAAAGCCCTCAGAACTGTGCCTGGGGCTGGAATGTTTCAGTGTTAGCCATTACTGGCCTCATTATCCCCACCCTCTCATCATCAGTTTCAGACATGTAATCACACAGGACGGTCCATCCTGGATCTGACCACATCCGATCTGCCAGCCTCCACTTCCCGGCTCTCAGTGGCCTGGCTTTTGGCTAGGGGACCTACCAACGCCTGTCAGTGTCACTCACGCGG